TTTGACGTGCCAATCAAACTTAAAACCTATCAAGCCGCTGGGAGAATCTTAATTTAAAAAAAAATACAAAGTCTAATCAGTCTCATACCTCCAAACAATTTCTTCCTTATTAAATATTCTATTTCCTAAACAAAGTCGGAGATTTCCCAATGAGTCTATATAAAGAGAGAGCTTAGCTACGTTATGGGGTATCTTTTGATCTCGGATTCTCTTGTTCTCTAGTTAGTTTTCTCCCTCTTTAAGATTTTAAGTACTCAAGTTGATGTGAAGTTTCAAGGAAGTCATTCAAGCCAATCGTTAACTAGTTTTTACTTTTAAACTCTCTTTTGTTTATTATTCTTTATGATATAATTTACAAATATTATTGAGTTTGATTTTTTTACTATGTCGAATTAAATCTCTTTACTAGGGATATGATGTAGCTTAAATTCAATTTTAGTTTACAATATTAGATTTGATTTTCATTATTCAAGTAAAATTTGTTATTGATCTTAATGCTTCCAAATAGAGTTTCTCTCCTAAATTGATTTATTTCATTAATCATTGTCGAGAGAAAGGTTTTTTATATGAATAGGGTAATAAATTTCATGGGAATGACAACTTGATGGATGAGCTAGATGGTTTGGTTCGTGGGAGGTTTTCATAAAATTAAAGGCCTTGATTTGTGGATTCCTGAATAATCACAAGAACTTAATGATTTGATCTATGTTTAGTTGTGCCATTGAGAGATGAGTAATTGAATTTGTTTAAATAGCTAATAAAAGATCGAGAGGGCTTATTAGCGGCTTTAGGGTTATTTCTCCTTCTTGAATAATTAAAATTGATTATCAAACTAATAGAATAAACTGGATACAATTAAATGAAGTCAAAATCCCTAGTATCTTTTAACCTTGATTCTTTACAATAATTTCTTACTTGATCTCATTCTTTTTGTTTTCCTTTATTTTTTTTATTTTCAAATACATTCTCCTTATTATTGTTTAAATAATAATAGATTTACACAATTTTAGTACTTGATATATAATTCTTGTTAGATGATGCTTTACTCGTTCTTTATTAATTGTTTGCGATTTCATGCACTTACGAAAAAAAAAAAAGCATGTCACATACAATAATCCAATAATTACTGTAATATATAATGCTTATGGATAATAATAGCCAAAAAAAAATAATATTTTGCTACCAATTATCTATTCATCATAGGGGACACCTAATTCATTGGCAAATGACTGTTTAATCAATTAAAATATTTATGACTATAACTGATTATTGAATTATAATGACAATTATAGCTTATGGATGATTATATGTGTCATATAATGTTTTTTTGTACATAGGAAAGCTCAATGGGCCGGAATAATATTGCGAGCTACAGAGCAGAGGCAGCTCTCCCCTTTGAATAACATTCAGCAAATTGGTGATTATCTTTGTGGTGGAGAGGACTCGAATGCTCTCTATATCTTTTACGAGAGATAAAAAGACCAATCAAATCACACTTGATTAGCAACAATGTTATATTAATGTAATCTATATTTGGTATTAACAACATCATGTTTAAATTGTTATATTTATGCATATACGATTAATAATATTTTAAATTGATGAGATCATATTATTGCTAATGGCAACGATTATACCGGGATATTAGAATAAAAGTACATAATGAATAAATATTGAAATATTATAGCCATTTTTACAATATTGTATCCCAAACTATGATATTAGCATAGTTTGAGGAATATTCGTATGAATAGACTTATAGAAATAGAAATCAGCATGTAAATTTTTTTTAAAAAAATAAATTCTATTATTTTACTATGAATTAAAAATAATATATGCTGATCACTGTGATCAGCAGATATTATTCATGATCACTAACATGGATAATATAATCACATAAAAAATATTACATACTTTGATTAAGCTGTAATAACAGTTTATTGGTTAAAATGAATATATCAAATAGGTTTTTTTTTTTTTTTTTTTTTTTAACCTAACCATCGGATAATATAATCACACTAAAATATTACCATCACTTTGATTAAGCTGCTAATAACACGCTTTATCCTGCGTTTAAAATGAATAATCACTCAACATAGGTTTTTTTTTTTTTTTTTCTTTGAAAAAATAGGTTGAACGTTCATATAGAATATCTCCTTCAATAGTACGTTCATATACTCTTGGTCTAGTTCAACGGGTTAAATTTGTGAAGCTATCCTATAATGGCCACATTAATTTGAAGGCTATGCTTCGCATAATCTTTAGCAATGTTATAGTACGGCTATCAGTCGAAATCTTTAACTAGTGATTTAATTGTTCTATATAGCAGTTTAAAAAATCAAAACACTGTTCTAGTCAAAATAAGTGCTTTGATTAGCTTGTTCAATAATACCAACGACAAAAAAAAAAAATCGTAAGGTCATCAGAAAACAAAACAAACGATAAGTGAATGAAGCCACAAAAGCCGTCATAAAAGATTTAGGAAACGCTAAACCGTTAATCGAGAATAACGCTTTCATAAAATACTCACTTCAAACTTTTAATTTTTTTTTTTTTTTTTTTTTTTGAAAAATAGGTTGAGTTCATATAGAAATATCTTCAATAGTAGTTAATATATTGTTAGTTAACGGGTTAATTTGTGAGCTATCTATATGGCATTAATTTGAAGGCTATGTTCGATAATTTTAGCAGTTATAGTAGCTATCAGTGATTTTACTAGTGATTAATTGTTTATATAGCAGTTTAAAATAAAAATGTTTAGTAAAAATAAGTGTTTGATTAGTTGTTCAATATAAAACGACAAAAAAAAAAAAAATGTAAGGTCATAGAAAACAATACAAAGATAAGTGAATGAGCACAAACGTCATAAAAGATTTAGGAAACGCTAAACGTTAATGAGAATAACGTTTCATAAAATACTACTTCAAACTTTAAACGTTAGGATAGATTTAGCATTACTGAATATGATAATTAATTAAAATAATGTTTTAATCCAGTCCAAACACTAAACACTATTCAAAACGTTGTTGCCCAACAGAACGTTCATGCTCAACACAGCTGAAGTCATTCATTAGGTTAAGGACTTCAAATTAATATCTAGTTATTAATTATTTATTATTATTGCCTAGTTATCAATTAATATACAGACATTGTTTATGATTTATTTATATTTATAATCAGTTTATTATTATTAATTATTATCACACTCAAAAATTTATATGAGAGTATAATATTATACTCCCATATAATACTCATTGGGATTATTATTATAGTAATAGTATAAGGTATGATTTCATTAGGCAACATATTTGTCATAGTTGTTGATTTATACTCGTTTTAATTCCGTAAAATAACTTGCAGAAAAATAAGTTGCTGAAAAATATTTTCTAAATGACTTATTTTCCTTTGTTTGGTTATAATTTTGAAAATTAGTTACAAATATTAAAGTTTTTATTTCAAAAGACCATAAAAAATATTAATAATAATAGAAATTTTATAATTTAAAAATTTTATTGTTAAATATGAGAAGAATAAAAAAAATATATATATAAATCATGAAAGTCTGCGGTGGCAAGTGGTGGTAGTCGGTGGTGGTGGTTAGTAGTAAATGGTGACTGGTAATAGTGACTATGATGATTAATAAATTACAAAAGTATGGATTTATAAGGTTTGTCAATATCCGAAAAATATTTTACTCTTTTGAAAATAGGAAGTTATTTTCCTTAAAAAATGACTTAATTTTTCTTTGACCAGTAAGACTTATTTTCTTGAACGCCCCAAACAATTAAAAATTATGGAAGATAGTTTCCTACAAGTTATTTTACGGAAACAAACGGTACCTTAGTAATACAAAAGTTAATGAAATGAATTGTCTTTTCAGGCAATAATTAAATTTCTCTAAAATTAACATATTATTTAAGCTTTGTTTGTTTCCAGAAAATAACTTATATTTGGAAAATATTTTCCTTGAAAATATTTTCGAAATGACTTATTTTTTCTTTGTTTGGTTTCAATTTAAAAACGAGTTAAAAATATAACAATTTTTAACTCATAAGACCATAAAAATAAAAATAATAATAATATAATTTTCGTATTTTAAAAATTTTATTGTCAAATATGAGAATAATGCAAAAAAAAAAAAGGTAAATTACGAAAGTCGCCAGTGACCGGTGGTGGTGGTGGCGGCCAGTAGTGATGGTTGATAGTGGCCAATGGTGGTGAACAGTGAGTGGTGGTAGTGACTACCGATGATTAATAAATTAACAAAATATATATTCATAAGGTTATAATAAGTTTGTCAAAATCTGGAAAGTGTTTTACGATTTTGAATGAAAATGACTTAGAATTTTCTTTTGATTAGAAAAATATTTTTTGTTAACTTATTTTTCTGAACACCCCCAAAATAATGAAATATTTTAAAAAATATTTTCCTACAAATTATTTTACGAAAACAAACGAAGCTTAGCTAAATTAAATTTGTCAAATCTGTCTCTTGTCCATCAGAATTACCCATTAATCACAAAAAGTGATCCTATTTGTGACTTGATTAATATTTTCTTATTTTAATTGACACATTGGTGTTAATCCACTGTATATTAGTTAATATATTATCAAAAAAATTTATCAAATTGGATTCATTGCTCCATTTATGAACCAAAATAAATGAAATTAAAATTTTTTAATTTTTAAATATAATTAAAAATACTCTCATTTCAATTAAAATATTTAATTTTATTAATTTAATTTACACACGTGGACTCATGAACCGTATAGGGAAATTTTTCCCAATATTACATAGGTGAATGACGGCTAAAACTCAAGTGCACAAGATAGGTTGTTGTAGACAGGACCTTCTTACGGAGGTCAACGGTCAATAAGCAATATCCACCTCCCCCGAAAATTCATGGTCAAAAGAACTTTAAAAAAAACACAATCTGTCCAACAACAACAATATCCTTTGTTTTTTCCTCTTTTCATCCAAACAAATTTTAGTAAAAAAAATCAAAAACTAAAAAGAACAAAAACAAACAAAACAATAATGGAGAACCTTCCTTCTTCTTCTTCCTTTGTCATGCTTTGATTCTTCATCTATTGCTTTCTTTTCCTGTTCAATCTCCGTATACATTCTCTGATAATTACACAAAAATACCAATTAACATTAACTTTAATCTCTCCATGGACAAAAACCCATCCCGAAAATCCTCTAACTTTCCAAGAAGCGCTAATGGCGATACTGCAGCACAAGAACAAGTATCCACGGATGGAAAACCAGAAATGGAGGAAACCGATCACATCGAACAAAGCATTAAAGATGTTTTCTCATTTACAAAATTTAATATTGATCAAGCAATGGAAGACGTTGATCGATATGTCGAGACATTGTCAAAAACAAATGATAAGTCTAATCCACCGGAAATTCCAAGCTCTGTGGATTCATTGTTGAAAATGCTTGAAAAAGAGATGGCCAATTTTGATTACAAAAAGGTTGGCCAAAATCAAGAAGCACAATCATTATTTTGCCAATGTTTAACTCGAGTTTCAAAGTTGACGAATGTATTCAACGAATTCACTGCCAATCCGTCAATTGCATCTTCTCTAAATAGAGCAAGCACTATTACGCATCTCGTCGTGTCATTATTAGATAATGAATTTCGAAAAGTTCTAGAGAGTTGCAACCAAAGCAATAACAGTAACATAGAATCCAAAACAACTCCCAAAGCATCGAAGCAATCATCCTTTAGTTCCCATAATCAAGAATTTGATCCAAAAGTCCAATCTGAATCAGAATCACCTGAAGAAGAAGAATTCCCTGCTTATACACAACAAGCCATATACAAAATGAGCAGACTCGCTTCTTCAATGATCTCTTTAGGTTATGAAAGTGAATGTTGCATGGCTTATAACATGGTAAGGAGAAATGCATTCAATAGCGAATTGGACAGGTTAGGATTCCACAATATAAGCATTGAAGATGTGCAGAGAATGCAATGGGAAACCGTAGAAGGAGAAATTTCTTTATGGATTGAAATTCTTAACCAGTGCTCCTCTATCCTTTTCCCTATAGAGCAAAAGCTTTGTAACAATATCTTTACAGATCACCCATCAATCGCTCAAAGATTGTTCGGCGATTTTGCATTAGCGGTAACTGTAAGATTTCTAAATTTTGCAGAAGCTGTTGCCTTATCAAAAAGATCAGCAGAGAAATTATTCAAATTCTTAGATATGTACGAAGCATTAAGAGATATGATTCCCGCAATTGAAAATATCCATTCCCAAGATTTAAAATCAGAAATCTATGCTGCTAAAGGCCGGCTTAGGGAAGCAGCTGTTTCTATTTTCGGCGATCTTGAAAATTCTATAAAGAGAGACAATGGTAGAACTCCAGTTCCAAGCGGTGCAGTTCATCCTTTGACACGCTATACCATGAATTATTTAGAATATGCATGTGAATATAAAGACACATTAGAGCAGGTCTTTCGAGAGCAACTGAAAACAAAAGGAACTTCCACCGAAGGTGAGTCAGATATTAAAAAGTGGGATGCAGAGATTAATAAAGGCGGAAACGAGGATGGAACACCAAAGACGTCACCGTTTGCTGTTCAGCTTAATAAAATAATGGATTTGCTAGATGAGAATCTTGAAATGAAATCGAAATTGTATAGAGATCCTGCTTTGCGAAATGTGTTCTTGATGAACAATGGAAGATATATACTTCAAAAGATTAAAGGATCTAATGACATTAATGACATAATGGGCGCTCAGTGGTGTCGAAAACGATCTTATGATTTAAGACAATACCATAAAGGGTATACGAGAGAAACCTGGGGCAGATTGTTGCAGTGTTTAAGCCATGAAGGGTTGCAGGTTAATGGGAAGGTGTCGAAACCTGTTTTGAAAGAGAGGTTTAAGATGTTTAATTCTATGTTTGATGAAATACATAAAACGCAGAGTACATGGGTTGTTAGCGATGAGCAACTTCAATCGGAGCTTCGTGTTTCGATATCAGCAGTGGTTATTCCGGCCTACCGGTCGTTTCTAGGAAGGTTTCAACAATATTTTTCGCCTGGTAGACAATCAGAGAAGTATATAAAGTATCAGCCGGAAGATATTGAGAATGCGATTGATGGTTTATTTGATGGAAACCCTACTTCCATGACAAGGAGGAAATAATTTTTGAATGAAAGTAAATTTGAAGAAAAGAATTGTCTTTTTTTTTTTTTTTTTTTTTTTCCCGCTTTCTAGCAAGGTTTCAAACAATCATTCTTTCGCCTGGTAGACAATCAGAGAAGTATATAAAGTATCAAGCCGGAAGATATTGAGAATGCGCATTCGAATGGTTTTTTTGATGGAAAACCCTACTCTCCCATTGACAAGCCGAGGAAATTAATTTTCGAACATGAACAGTAAATTTGCAAGAAACAGAAATCTGTCTTTTTTTTTTTTTTTTTTTTTTTCGGTTCCACTTAATTTTCATCTTTTTTTCTTTCCAATGACTTTTTTCTGGCTTTTTTTTTTTTTTTTTTTTTGTTCCATTAATTCATTTTTTTTTCCATATTTTTCTGCATTTTATTGTTTCATTTGTTTGAATGTGAAGTAATTTATTTTGTACTGTATTTCTAATAGTTAGATCTAGGTATTGAGGTATACATGAACTAAATAATCAAATAAGGGAATATACTAATAATTAATTATTGTATGTCCGAGCTTTTGCTTGGGTATTGATAACATTAGAAATGGTTTATTATTCATTTAAAACATGGTACTGATAACTCCTTTCAATTTCTAAAGCAGTATATAATCATGTATGAACTATATAATTGGGTCATGTGGTAATTCATCTATAGCTAAGATGATTATCCGATCGGTCAAGAGGATTTGGGTAATTTTACCTATATGTATTTCTTTGCTAACTATTTTTATATACAACAATCCCTGTTGTATATAAAGTAGTTATAGGGTAGTTTGATATTTTATATATATATTAAGGTAAATATCAAAATTATTATTAACTTAAATCATTCAATACAACAAGAGAAATAGGGTTGGACAGGCTCCACTCCCTAAGATCAGGCATAGAATAGGCGGTCGTTGCTAAAAGCTGAGCGATTCTCTTTTTTTTTTTTTTTTTTTTTTTTTCTCTTTTTTTTTTTTTTTTTTTTTTTAGAAAAAATTAATTTTTAGAAAAAATTCAAACTTTAATTTTGATTAATTGATAAACTGTATACAGATATGAGATTACAGATCAATATGTTCTATATATTTTGTATAAGAAGGTCTAATAAATAAACCACTATACAAAAAAATAAAAATAACACCATCTGATTTGAAGTATTTGATCGGAATTGATTTAGAGCATAATAATTTGTGCTATAGGCGATCACTTTAGCTCACTCTTAGTGGCTTTTCATGGCCACTGTTCGACTCTATGATCTTTCTACAGAAATAAACCACTTATACAAAAAATAAAAAAACACCATCTTGATTTGAAGTATTTGATCGAATTGATAGAGCATAATATTTGTGCTATAGGCGATCACTTGCTCCACTTAGTGGCTTTTCATGGCCACTGTTCGACTCTATGATCTTTCTACAAGTCCGATCTGGTTTCCTTCAAATTTCTTCATTCAATTGGAAAGGAAATCTGCACTTCTTTCTGCATAACTATCCAAATAATAAAAGACGCTAGATAAAATCATCATAATGGTGATAACAATAACTCAGAACTAGATCTGATGACAAAATCTCAATATATGACAATAATAAATCTCAATATATAGGCGATAATAACTCAGATCTGTAAATAGGTTCAAGGATTATTTGAAAAAAATCAAACAAAAAAGGGAAAGAGGTGACCACCAGTGAGAGCTCACCGGTGGCCGCCCATGGAAGAAGAGAAAAGAGGTTTTAAATTTTCAGAGAAAGAGGGAGAGAGAGAGGGGATAGTTTTTTTTTTTATGAGCCACTCTATTCACTAACCTTTTAATAAACCAAAAAGAATGACGAGAAAGTTCCTTTAAAATTGATTGCTAATCTAAAACAATATTCCCAACATAAGAGCTATCTGCTTTCATCTTTAAAAGGGCTTGGACCAGCTGTAAACAGTCAGATTCAAATACAACATGATGTAGATTATGCCCCTTGACCCAGCTCAAAGCTTCTCGGAAAGACAAGGCTTCTGTTGTAGGAGGATTAGCGCCACCATCAAGAGATATTTGACATGCATTCATTAATTTGGTCATGTCATTCCTCAATATCCAACCAGCACCCACCATTGAAGAAGAATAATGAAAAGATGCATCTGTGTTGCATTTGAAAAAACCTAATGGTGACTTGCACCAATGTATATTACCTGGTTTATGCTGGGTGGGGATCTGCTGACTATTCTGTGCTGATTTCCATGAGAAAAACCAAGCATTTGCCGACTGTAACAAATGCGCTTGAGGCTGATCTTCTCCTCTCTAGAGAACAGAGTTTCAATGGTCTCATATTACCCACAAAATCAGATAGAAATGTTGAATGTAATCTAGGGAGTGGTCAAGGAAAACCTTCAGAAATAATTATAGAATATCTGAAAATTGCCCAACTTCATAAATGTCTAACACATCTGCTAAAACCCAATTCCAACATTCCCTAGCAAAATTGCATTCAGTGAAGACATGTAACAAAGTTTCAATGGAATTGCCGCAAACAGGACATAGAACATCAATTTCCAACCCACGCAAAAACAACTTTTCCTTAATTGGAATAAGCCCATTACAAATTCGCTAGATTAGGTTCTTTATATTCGGTGGAATTTCTAGAGCCCATCATTTTACTCGAAATGGCGCATCACTTCTGATGTGAGAGGATCAAAATCGAAGATAAGAAATCTGTAGGCACTTTTTACCCGAATAGTCGCAGCTTCGCTCAAAACTCCATCCCCAATCATCTAGTCTTCTTTACAAACTGAGAAGGATAAACAAAATAAGATTCCTATCGCTTTCTGTAAAAAGACTCTTGATAATATCCCTCTTCCAATATAAGCCATCCTCATCAATAAGAGAGAAAACAAAATGGAAATTACATGGAGTAGGCATAATCGAACTAACTTGAGGGTTTACGGGGTCAAGCAGTTGTGGATCGTTCCAGATCGAGATGGAATCTCTCCTTTCCACATGCAAACAAGCTCCAACTTTTTTAACAGATGGATATAGGCTTCGCCGCTCTCCAAATAAAACTCAGATTTGAGCCCCTCACTGCATCAAATAGAGAGGTCGAAGGGATGTGCGTGCTTTACACAATTTAGCAACCAAGGAGTTCAGAAATTTAAGGAAATGCCAAACCTGCTTCCCTAATAAGGCGATATTGAACTCATACAATCTTCTAAAATTTAAACTGCCCCTTAATTTAGAACAGCACATTGCCTCCCAACTTCTCCACCGAATACCACCATTTTGATTAGAACTCTGTCCCCACCAGAAACCATTCATAAGACGTTGGATTTGCTGAAAAAAATTTCAACGAAGTAGAAAAACACTCATAGTCTAGGCTAGAATCACTTGTATCACTGATTTTAATAAAATCTCCATGCCAGCGCTAGACAACAAGAGCTTTTTCCAACTCTGAAGTCTCTTCCATATTTTCTCTCTGAGAAAATCAAAGACATCTCGTCTATTACGCCCCACCATAGCCTAGAGGCTTAGATAAAACCCAATTCGGCTATCTCACCCACCGAAAGGATGCAGAGACTCGATTCTTCATTATTGTGCCAGTGTTTAAGCTAAAAGCAATAGTCAACTTTTGCCAATTAGTAATCTGACCCAAAGCTTTTTCATACAATTTAAATACTCCTTAATCTGAAAACTTTCAATAACTTCGGCATTAAAAAATAAAAGACTATCATCCAATAAAAAAAATCGTTAATAAATGGTGCTCCCCTGCAAATGCTACAACCATGGATTAGGTGCCTTCTCTCTCTATCTTGTAACAGTAACAAAAAATCCTTTGGCACATAATATGAACAGATATGGAGAAAGGGGACATCCTTAGCATAAGCCTCTACATGGATTAATTGGACCTAACTCTCTTCCATCATGTCAGATTTTATATTGAATTATATAGAAAACACAAAATAAAACCATATCAATCCATCTCGATGGGAACCATCATCCTTTTTAAATCCCACTCAATACGGTCCTACGCCTGGCTCATGTCAATTGTCATGGCTGCCATACCCACTTTACCTTAACGTTTCCATTTTAGATAATGGATGACTTCATAAGCTGTTATTACATTATTCGATATAAGATAACCAAGGACAAAGGCACTATAAAAAGGAGATTTAATGTCTGATAGTAGCTCCTTGAGACAGTTTGCCAAGACTTTTGTTATCACCTTATATAAAGCATGTTGCATAAAGAGATAGGTCGAAGGTTGGGCATGAACTGCAGATTTTTTTTTTTTTTTATCTTTTTGGGAATCAGAAGAATGAGAGTCAAAATTTTGAATTTGGGGAAAAGTCACATCCAGGATATTGGCTGATAAGGGGAGTCCTCTATAAGGCCGTAGTTCCCTGCCTCTCCTCTTTCTCTGCACTCCCCAACCAGTTCCTTGACAATGTTTCGGAGATTAGCACTATCCTTAACTGGTTATGTGTGCCTCGATTCTTGACTATAGGAACTGGTCATGCTGAGATTCGCTTCCGACTCTGGCTCATGGAGTTGTTTAGATGTTGGCTGGTTTGTCGCTTAAGTGATAATGGAGGCGCACCGTGCTCTTTATGGCATTGGTTCGTTGGCCCACCTGGGGGTATCAGTTCGCCATCCGGATGAGAGACCTCAAGAAGGTGTTTCAGCACATTGGCGAACTGCAAGTATACTTGAGCTAGTGTCGCCGCCACTTGAAGTCGGTTGTTTGTGGAGGAGGTATTACGACATGTTCAATCGCCTCATCGTGGTTGTCATCCAGATCCTCGTGTTCAACCAATTCATTAGCCATGGTAGTCAAGGTGAAAGAGATTAAGGTTAATGGGTATTGAATGTGCGTTACACCCTAACCGCACTAATCGTTAAACTTTCAGGAGTTGAGAAAATAGGAGAATTGTGAATTAGTCCCTTTTTTAGATTACTCAGGATATGTATATTGCAATAAAGATAATTGTATTAAGATAAAAATTGTGAGAATCCTATATTATTTGTTAGTTAAAATTTATTTAGAAATTTAATATATTTTCATGTTATCTTTTTTATATTTTATTATTGTATATTGTCGAAAAGGAAACACTTGTTAAGGGAACAAGACAAACTGTCGATGAGACAAGTATATATATCTATATTAGATTATTATAGTTCGATTAATGATATTGCTGAAAACAGTAATATCAAATGGTTAATCAATGACCGAGAAACTAACCAACTAACATAATTAATGTAGTACTCGCATATTAAATAAATAATGACTAATAAGTACTAATTATGACGATCAATATTACTTTATTATTAGATGGTTTAACAAATAGGATAGTGCTAAATGGATCATTATGATATGAATCAAATCCATCATTTTGATTGAAAATCACTTTAGGGTTTAGTTAGAAATACAATTTTATCCTCAAGATGTTTTGTCATAAAAGAAAACTTTTTCACATCCAAATAAGCACACTCACTTTATGGAGACTTACAAACTGTTCATTTTGATTGGAAACTGTTCATCTTGCCGCCGTATCCGATGGTTTTAATGACGGTGGTTTCCAAAACAACTAGCACCAGTGTGACAATAGGCTAGTTGATTGCATAATTTACTCATAACAAATTAAATTAATTATTAATTTTTTTTATAAACCATCGGTATTCGAATTCATTGCCAGATACCACTTAATCTGATTCGGGATTTAGTTATAGTTAAAGTTCCTTGCCCCTCCCTGCAAATGCATTTAGTGGGGATCGAATTAATTTATTAACCATGGCCTTTAGATGTAACCCAAGATTTAATTTGCCACTTATTTAATTAAGTGATTAAATTTTAATATAAATAAATTAAACAAAATAATTTTCAAAAAAAATAGTTGAAATAAATTTAATTTAAATAAGTTTAGTTTAAATAGAAGGTAAAAAATGTAAAAGTGTATTTATTATGATAATTCAGCTATCTTTTTTACCAAATAATCTTAATCATTAATATCATTTCTTAATCTCAGCTCAATAAGATAGAAATATTAGGATTCAAAGTTTAACAAACACACACACACACACACATACATATATCTAGACCACCCTTATGATGGTGAACAATAGCTTGGCTAAAGTAATAGCATATATTATTTGCAAATATAAAATTTTACTCTAATATACAAACTTTAAAATTTAATATTATTTAAATGATTTATTATTTAATTACCATTAAATACTGTGTATTTCGAATTCATTGCCAGATAGCTCCTATCTATTAATCTGATTCGGGATTTAGTTATAGTTAAAGAGATTCACTTGCACCACCTTTAATAAATCCAATGAAAAAAATTAAAATATCACCGCTGCAATGGCAAAATTTTAGTGGGATCAAGAATTAAATTTATTAAACCAAACAAAATTGTGGACGTTAAATATAGATTAGTATGACCACAAGAAATTTTATATTTGCCCTAAATCTACAAATAAATATAAATTTAAGCTGATTCAATTTATAATATAATAATTAAACCAAATAAATTTTCAAAAAAAATAGTTGAAAATAAATTTAATTTAATAAGTATTAAGTTTAAATAGAAGGTAAAAAAATGTAAAAAGTTCGTCATTACTAAAAATTAATGAATAATCTCTAGCCTAATCTTATTTTTACCAAAAATAAATCTTAATCAATTAATATCATTTCTTTAATCCTACAGCTCCAATAAGATAAGAAATATTAGGATTCAAAGTTTAATTATCCCAAACACATTATCGAACACCACACACACATACATTACTTATATAATCATCATATTATACTATATATATATACTTACCAAATTATTATTTTATAATAATTATATTTATTAAATTAATATAATTTTGAATTTTAACTTATAGAAGTGGTAGCTAATTTAATAAAATTTCAAATATTAATTCAAATTTGACTTTAAAATTTTAGGAATTATTCCATGAGTATTATTTTGATCAAAGTTAACTAAAAATATTCAAGTTGTGGGCAATAATACGAGAGAAAAGATGAATGTAATTGTCTAGTTTTTAATTTTACAATTTTAAGATTTAAGATGAGCATGCTGCTGAATATAGGCATTTACACATATATAATTATTTTAATATTATTTAAGTTATACACAAAATATAGGTTTTAATATCTTAATGCATTGTCTTTGTCAATTTTAAATAAAGGATCATTATAAAGTGTAGACGTAAAACAAATATGAAAAATAATTTTTGTTTAATTATGGGTCCACACCTCACTTTAATAAAAATTACAATGCAGCCTTATAAAAGCTGAAAATTTTTTAATAGTGGCTATCAGTTAGTAAAATTTTAATCAATAAATTACTTTTTAATATAGGTAAATTGTATAATTACCACGCTGTGTTCTTAAGAATTTTATCTTTATATAGTGCCAGTTTTTGGAACAAATGAAATCACATGGTATGTAAAACTCTCATTTAGAGTAACTATTGAATTTATCAATTGTTAAGTAGCTAACAGATTTAAAATAAAAAAATCAATTGAATTCCATGCACAAAATTTGTTTTGAATAAATTCTTAAATAAAATTCATGTTGTCTTTATTTCCTGTATAACACTGCTTGGAACATATAATTTAATAGAAAAATGAATAAACAAAATCCAATTATTTTTATTATGTGGACATATATAACTTGGTCCTTTTTTTTATTAGAAAGTATAAATGATTAAAGTTTCAAGTAGAAAATAGTACGACTAATATTCCACACTGAATTAATTATTGATATAAGTAGAAACAGTTATCATAAATAAATTGATTTCATCTAATTTGAATGTTCTTATGAGAGATTTTTCCAGTATATATAATTGTAGAAAAATTAAAAAAAATATATTAACGCTGTAATAGTTTATACTTCTCTCTTATGAATTTAAACATGTATGCATACGTTTTTAATTTCGTTTCTTACTATTTGAAATTAAACTAAATAATAGGTTCTGGTGCTAATAATAGTTTTTTGGGTGTTTTTATGATATTTATGTGCAAAATATTTACTTAATGGATGTGTTTAATATAATTTTTTCAGTCTATCAGAAATGTAATAGCGACGTCTCAGTTACAATATAATAACTTGTCTTTTTTTTATTAGAATATAAATATTAAATTTCATAGAAATAGTACACTAATATTCCACACTAATTAATTAATTATATAAGTATTAACATTCATCATAATAATTATTTTTAATTGATGTTGTTGATTTCAGTAATTAATTTGAAAATTAAAAAAATATATTAAGAATGTTACTGCTGTTTTTAATTGTATTTGAAAACAATTGTTGGTGCTCAGTTTTATAGTTTAATAGTATTATTACCAGACTTAAAAAAAAAAACATCATTATTTGAAATTTTTAAAAATAAAAGTAAAAAGAAAAAAAATAAAAATATAAACTAACGTCATTATTGTATTAAAAAAGATTAAAAAAAATATAACATTGTTATAGTTTGAAATTTTTCAAAGACAATAAATAAAAAGGAAAAAAAGATAAAAATAGTTGAGTTTACAGTGGAGAGTAATTTTGTCAACAAAAATTTCAATGGTTAATTTTGTGGAATTCATTTAGAAATTTCATCAATTTTAGTAGAATGAGTTAGATATATTCAATCGCACAGAATTCAATTCGTATAATGCAAATCTGTATTTTTTTTCATTTCAAACACAATATTTTAGATTTTCAAATGAATTTCACAAAAGTTTATGAAATTCATTTGTTCTAAATGGGCTTTAATTTCAAATGTGATTAAGTGTGTTAACTAAGGACAAATTAAAATAACTTAATTTATTTTCAATTTTCTGCCAGTTATATGTTGTCATAATTATATTAAAAGTATCTTTAATTTTATTATACTACATTGCATTCAGTTATTACTTATCAAATCCAACCTAAATTCATAAATGAGTCGAAATAAAGAGATTTTAAGGTTATTTTAATTTTCTCCTTTTAATACATTAATGAAAGTTGCATGCCAGTCGTTATATGTTTTGTTACGATAAGCAATACAAATACGATGCCGTTTCATGCAATTTCAATGAATCTGATATCCTTTACAAAGTAAGAAACTTATCCAAATAATGCGCCTGAAGCGTCAAAATCTGACGTGGACTTCCTAAAAATAAATAAATAAATATCCACTACCGATTGGTGGCTTAAAAAAGAAAAAAAAAAAAAAATTGAATTCAGCTAGAAAGAAAATCACGGTCCACATACAGCAATTTTTTTGTTTTCTCTGGATTTCGATTGTCGACCAGAACTACTCTCCAGTTTCAGTCTAGCAAAAATGTTTGGTACTGGTGGAGGAGGAGGTAGTGTCTATTGGGGAAGGAAGCAAAACGGATTCAAGGGAATTGTCGTTATTTTCGCTTGGATTTCAATTCCTGAGAACCACTTGAAAAACTATGTGGATTTGTACTCCTCTCTTGGATGGAATTCCATTGTTTCTCATGCCGATTTCCTCAGCGCGTGAGTAACACATCTCTCTCCGTTTGTTTCCTTAGAAAATGAAGGAAATGAGAAAAAGAAAAAGGAACTCTTGTTTATTATTTTTATTATTATTGTTACTTTCTGTTCTTTGGGAATTTGATGAACCAGGTGTATCTTTTGTAGGAGTTTTAATAATCATGTAGGAGTGAAATTTACATGTCTTTCTTAATTTCGTAAAATGCCTAAGTAATGCGATTGTGAGATGTAAACCCTTTTTTTTTTTTGGCTTTCTTTACTTTTTTAAGGGTTAGGGGCTTTTTATTTCTTTTGTGTTCCTTTCGTTTAGGGTTTATGATTTTTGGATAAGTATGTACAATTTAAGTGAACAGACTGGGAAATTGTATTTGTTAAGCATATTTGAAGCACAAATTTGAGTTACAATGAGATGAATTATGCTAGTTCTGTAGTGTGGAATGCTTAAAATATTACTTGCAAAGGATACCCTTTCGGCTGTTCTAATGTTATTATCTCTTGATGTAGTATGCATTTCTATATCTTGAGTCATTGGCATGGTTCTGTTTTGAATTTATAGTCACTGCTATAAGGTGGATATTCTGGGTAAGGGAGTGGGTTTTGAGTCCCTTACCCCTTCTTTCATCAATTAAGTACCTTCTGCTTTTGTTGTTTCCCATCTTTTATAAATACCTGGTGCTAGCACTCAGGTCGCAGTATAAGTCCCCTATAAGCGGGGTTTGGTTTAAGGTCTTTATTTAACATTATAACACATGGAGTTTTTAAGATGTTATTACCCTTTTTGTTATATCAACCTTCAAAGGAGAGATTGAATATAACATAATCTTCTCATCTTATTTAGTTTTGTTTTTTTATGAATTGGACTGGAGCCATATGATTGAATTTAGAGAACTATCAAAAATGTTACTTTATGAAGCAAAAATTTTAATAACTGGTATATCCATGTATTTGGGTGATGGGAAGTTGGATAAGTGGCAGGACAACTAGAGATGACCATATAAACGTTTAACATTATTGAAAAATGCATTCTTGAGGAATTGAGTGTAATTTAATAAAAGATGAAATGCATGTATTACCATTGCAAGGAGTGATTTGGTTCAGGTTGGATGGTAAAGAGATTAAGACCGAAAGTATATTTGTTGAGTTGAGGATATGAAAAACAAAACCCTGATTTATCATGTAAAAGAAGCAAATGGTCTTCAAGAATATACAATAGTGATAAAGATTTCATTGAATTGAGTATCTAAAGGCTTTTTTAATGGGACTAGTCCAATATTTACTATTGTTGTTAATCATTTTGGGGTCATCTTTAATTGCTTGAGAAACTCAACAAATAATGAATGGAGAAATAAAAGGATGCTCGTGTTTATCTTTTTCCCTGAGTTTTGTTTGGTGTAGGGAGGGTGTTAGTGGTTAAATTCTTTATTTGATATTCTTCAGAATTTTGATTTTGTCCATGTTTTCTGTTTATTGGTAAAAATTTTTGCAGGTTTGATCCTGAAAGGGCCTTGTCACTGGCATTTGTTCTTCTCAATGAGCTTGTTGAGGTGAATTACATTGATGTTTTGTATGTCAAATGTGTAGCTTGATTTAAATTTACAATTCTGTTTATTTTGTGGAAATTCCAATCTGATGCAGGGGCTTTGTGTGGGTGCCCATATTGGTCAAATTAAGGTTCATTAAAATCCTAAATCTACTTGATATCGTGTGGGATCCCATACAAAATAATTGTGAGCACAGTGAGGTGCATCAGGCTATTATAATTTTTGAATATTGTTTGAATTGATTCATGGGTTAAATACCTATTTTTTTTTTATATGCAGGAATTAAGGACTAGACCATGTCCAATTGTCTTTGGTGCTTTTTCTGGTGCTCCAAAAGCTTGCATGTACAAGGTTTTACAGGTAAATTTTGTATGAACTTTTAGAGAGCCAATTCTAACTTACTGAAAAGAAAATGAAGTGGAACAACTTCTTATCCCCCCCACCCTCCCCCCCCAATGCAACGCTGATGGCTGGAAGCAGCAGGTTCGCCCCCACCCCTGGCGCCACACTAAACTCTCTCTCTCAGACACACACATGCACACACAAACACGAACACACGGACTGGCAATAAGGCTAATTTACTTGTTGAAAACAAATTGAAGTGGAACTGCTTCTTGTTCCGCCTCTCTTTCCCCCTGCATAGGCCTGATAGGCTGGAAGCATCAAGTTCCACCAGAAACCTAACTTTTCTCTCTTTTATTCCTCTCTCCAATACTGGCGATAAGGCTAATTTTATTATTTGCAATGCAGATTATTCAAGAATCATCATATGATAGTCATATTAATGTGGTATGCGCTGTCCCTTTTTCTTCTTCTGTGTTTTTTTTTTTTTTTTTAAAGTGGAACTGCTTTCTTGTTCCGCCTCCTCTTTCCCCCTGCAATAGGCCTGAATAGGCTGGAAGCATCAAGTTCCACCAGAAACCTAAATTTTTCTCTCTTTTATTCGCTCTTCTCCAATACTTGGCGATATAGGCTAATTTTATTATTTGCAATGCAGATTATTCAAGAATCATCAATATGATAGTCCATATTAATGTGGTATGCGCTGGTCCCTTTTTCTTCCTTCTGTGTTTTTTTTTTTTTTTGGCCAAATCAAAACTGTACACTCTTTTAACTTCTTCTTCCCTGTTTTTCTTTTATGTTGTGAAGTTATGTTTTTTTTTTTTTTTTTTGGCCAATCAAACTGTACACTTTTTAACTTCTCTTCCTGTTTTCTTTTATGTTGTGAAGTATGAGAGTCGATTGCTCAGAAATTGTGTTTCTGGGCATATCTATGACTCAAGCCCAGTTGATTTTACAAGTGATTTGGGTGCCCAATTTGCTCTACCATCTACTATTCGAAAGATGCCTGGTCCATCAAAACTTGTATCTTGGTTTGCAAAAGGTGTTGCTTCTGGTCTAGATGGTTTATATCTTACCAGGTTTGAATCCCAGCGTGTTGAGTATTGGCAGACTCTATACTCTTCAGTTGTAAGTTTCTAAGTGGCCATTAGTTCCCCTGTTTCTAATATTGCTATTTTGAACCAGTTGATGTGATATCTTTTTGCTAATGCTTTCTCTTACTTAGGACTTGGAGGCACCTTATCTGATTTTATGCTCAGAAAGTGATCACCTTGCACCTTGTAAAAGTATTTGCCGATTCGCTCAACGTCTACAAGATCTTGGCGGAGATGTTAAGTTTGTGAAGTGGAATGTTTCACCTCATATTGGTTCGTACCAGATCTATTTTTGTGTTTGAATACTGTTGTGTATTAATGTAAAGTACAATTGCTGCTTATTCTAACTGGCAAAGTCGTCAGATCAAAAGGGGATGCAACTGCGCCCTTTATTTTTTCCCCTTATATTAACTAATATAATTCGTATATATATGATAGATGAAAAATGCAAACTCATAGATAATGCAGAAAAAAATTAGTATATTCTCATAAGAAATTCAAATTTTCTATAGATTAGAGATTAGTGAATTCAATTGATATTTTTTAGTGTTATGTTTTCGTTGTGTAATTTTCTCTTATACAAAATTCTTATGCTTCATTATTTATTTGGATTTTTCAACTTTCTTTTGACTATCAAACATCATCTTTCTTTCGTTCTTCTTCTTCTTCTTCTTCTTTTCATTCACCCCACTAGATGCGTTCGTATCATTTAATAGTTTGTGCATTCTCCAATTTGATGTTAAATATTGATTTTTTTTTTTTTTTGAAACAACAGAATTTTTAAATTTAATAACTAGTACGTATGATGTATAGACTAATGATTTTAGCTAAATAATAACTTCAAATCTGAAAAATATATTTTCACATTACATTGTAGTTAATGATTATTTAAATCTGAAAATATTTTACCATATTGGAGAATGCTCTAGCAAATAGGGTTTTTTTTTTTCTTTATAATATTTTTATTGGTTATGTGTGCACCTTAATTTTTCTGTTCCATCCATTTGAAAATCTAGTTGCATTTCTGCTTATTCTTTAAAAGCAAGTATTTTGCAAATCTTATGATTATGTTTTGACTCTCAGTTAACATGGTACCTCAAAAACTTGAAGACAAATATCCCTACTAGTAAATGGAGTAGAATGCTTGAATACTCTTTATATATATATATATATATATATTTCTATTAGAATCATAGCGGGCAATAGGTTTTCTTATCAGTTCCAAGTTAAGGCCATAATAGTCATGGAGCTATTGAATATAGATGTGTACCTAAAGCTCATGCTGTCAGGCAAGAACTGGACATGTTAACATTTGCTGAATGAGAATTAATGGGATCTTCAAATCCAATCAGATGATCTCTATTTAGTACCTTTATTTTACTGTTGATGTATGGATTTGCATGCTATATATTATCTTGGAAAAATTATGGGCTGCACCTTAAGATTAATTTAGTTCAAAGTTTGATGAATCTGAATGATGAGTGTAAGAGTATTCTAGAGGAGGCTTAGCATCTGTTTGTTAGTTACTACACTTTTGGCCTCTGGGGTCGTCAAATCTGAAGTGTTTTATGATATTCTATCTGATGGTTTCTTTCTATTATTGACTAACTAGTTTCTTAAAATTATTTTAGTTTTTCTTAATCCTGTGGATGGACAGGGTAGGGTGTTTTTGAAGTTAAAAAAGAGGAATTACTGAGTAGTTATTAGAATTAGGGTTGACACGGCTGCTATCTTATGTTTGATCTATGTCAATTGCAAGAATCTGAAACAATCAAGAGGGGACTCTTACAAGGGAACTCTTACAAAATGAAATAAGATCAACAAATAGACCATGACCATAGTCATTCCTATTCATGCATTTGGCTGAGAATGAACAAATACAAAGCATTTCCATAATCCTGCCCTGTTGTCACCTTTGAATTCTCAGTTATTTTCAATGACAAAAGATTAAGAAAATTTATTCTCGATCATGAATTACTTTTAGATTTTGTTCTTGTATCATCACTAAATTTAGATATAAATCATAGTTTCTTTTTTACATCTAGCTGCTCTGCATACACTTTACTTTGTCTTTTGACATTATAAACCTGAACTGTTGTCATACTATGGTATTCAGGTCATTACAAGCATTATCCAATCCAATATAGGGCTGCTGTGACTGATTTGCTTGAGAAGGCTGGTTCAGTTTATTCTCGAAGAATCCAACAACTTAGAGAGGGAGCTGGCCTGGATGGTATTTATGATGAGATGCCTGAACTGATCTGCAACCTCCAGAAAGCAGCAGTTAACTCAAACCAAAGCTTAAGAAGGGTTGCGGTTGAACCAAGTGACCATTTCTTTGTGCCGACTTCAGGAGAAAATCGCAATACTGGAGAGTCACAGCCTTTACTAGATGAAAGGAAAGAAACATCTATTTATCTACCAACCTCTCCCAGCATGAGTGCAAATAGTGTTCTTGGGAAAATGCTCTTTGACGTTTGTGTTCCCAAGAACGTTGAAGGTTGGGATATTAGATTTTCAGGTTCTGTGAATGGGCAACCAATTGCCTCTGCTAGAAGGCATTCACCTATCAAATTCACTCGTCGCTCAAAATTATAGTTATATATTGATTAAATATAATCAGAAATTCTACCATTTGCATCAAGAGCCTTGAGTTCTAAAGGAAGATTGATTCCTCTGAATTCTGTGCAAATGGTGAGCAATGAGTTGTGAAGATGAGGTGGTTTTGACAGTTGACGTGAAAACTAGGTATACCTTTTGCTTTAAGCTTCTTGCCCGTTCCTTTGGCATATAGTGTACAGGTTGAAGAAGTGGATGATGGCATGTATATAGAGAAACACACGTTTGACAAGAGTTTGCTTCGTATGTAATGCCCATTGTGGTCGGGTACTCACTTAGAAGTGGGGTTTCTTAGTGGAGTATTAACAGATAATCTCATAAAAATGGTTACGAGGAGCTTTCTGCACAAAATGTAAATACAGAATGTATGTGAAACATATCCTTTTCGTATGGGATTCTGATGGTAGAACAATGGATTATCATATATCAGATGCATGTAGAGGTGGCCAGGGTTTCAGTTTGGAACTGATACGAAATTGGAACTGAATTGGTTTGAAACTGAAACCAACCGGACATTAAACTTGCCGGAATTGGTTCCTAGGAGTACTAAGTATTTTTTTTTTTTTTGCCAGGGTTTCAGTTTGGAACTGATACAAATTGGAACTGAAATTGGTTTGAAACTGAAACCCAAACCGGACATTAAACTTGCCGGAATTGGTTCCTAGGGAAAGTATAAGTATTTTTTTTTTTTTTTTTTTGTGGGCGGGGGGGGGGGGGGTGGGTGGGGGTGTGGGTGGGGGGGTGGGGTGTGGGGTGGGGTGTTTATAGGTGACCTTAGTCATGAACTAGGCTTGATTCAATTTGTGCCAGAGGCATGGTTGGCTCGTTGAACTGCCTGAATTCTCGCAACGGTTTAAAATTTTTAAAATGTTGAATTTGAATTGATTCTTGAAATTTTTAAAATGTTGAATTTGATCTCACTCTTGAACCGATGTTCCTGTTTGATTTTAGTCACAACATGGTTCCAATAAACTAACTATTCTTATAGTTCACGTGACTCATTCTTTTTGCACAAAAAAATGGAGATTACGTCTTTTTCGAAAACAATTAATGTGAATCTAAAAAATATTAGTAAAATTTGTTTTAAATAATTTTTAAAATGCTTATATTCATATAAGAAATAAAATTTATTGACTTACAAGAAAGACAAATAATCAAACATTTGATTTTAACTTGTTTAAATATTATTATTAAATAAATTATTAGAAAAAATAGAAAAATATTTGAAATAATGTAATTTTGGATTAAGTAAAAAATTTAGATGGAAAAGAACATTGTCAAGTTCCTATTTGTATCAGGCAATATAATTTTAGAGTATGTATTCAAATTTACTTTACACTTATAACTTTTTGAGTCAAGTGTATAACATATTATCAAATTTATTTAGGTTTTTAGAGGTGCATAGAATATACAGGGGATTATAAATGTTTCAAAATAAAAATAGAATTTTCGATTTGAACCGAAAACTAGAATAGCCGATTTTGGACAGGTTCAGGTTCATTTTCTAAGATTAACATGAATTTTAATTGGCCTTTAAACTGTCAATTTCAGTTTGAAATTTTTAACTGACGATTTTGGTCTAATTCTGACTCATATACAACACAGTTTGATTTTGGTTGATTTATAATTCAAACCAAACCAGTTCTTATGCCTAGCTTAACGAAACATTAAACACTTATCCTCTTACTTAAGATACTCGAATCCTTTCTACTTAGACTAACCCTCATTGCACTGACGGAGCTAGGGATCAGCGGTGGCCCCATCTCCCCAACAAAAATTTCTTTTAAAGAAAAACCCATAAGATATTGAATTATTTTTACCCCTATAATATTAATTTTTCAATTTTGCCTCCCTGAACTCTTAAAATTTAATTTAGTCTCCTAATTTTAATTCCTAGCTCCATCACTGCCTCGTTAATAATGGGGAGCTAGGTTTTCACTATGGTAGAACCATAAGTTCTGCATTAAATGGAATTCAGGGAAAAGTATAAATTTAAAAAATCGATCTTTTCAATTTTTTAAAGATGAAACCTAATTAGAGCTAGAATTTGGAATGGAGTTAATGGTTTAAATTGTCAATTTAGTTTCTAATTTGGTTTAAGAGATTGGAACTAGGACTATTGCTCGAGGTTTTGATTTCAATTTGATTATATATATTCGAGGTTTTGATTTCAATTTTGATTATATATATATATATATATATATATATATTATATATATATATATATATATATTATATATATATATATTATTTATATTATATATACTTATATGACTCATGATCTATTTAAGTTAATGAAAAATATAAATTTTAACAAATCATATATTTCATATATGACTCATGATCTATTTAAGTTAATGAAAAATATAAATTTTTACAATCATATATTTCATAGAAAATAAAAGATATTTTTTTAAGTATATTTAAAATAATTAAAACATAATCTCAAAGTATATGTTTATGTTTAGAAACCCTTACATGTTTTTAAATAAAATTTATTGAAATCTCAAATCATAATTTAAAACATCAATTAAGAAAGCATGATTATCTTTTTCTCTCAATAAAAAAGAGGGATACCCAAAAAAAACTAATAGACCATTTGCCAAACAGCACCTATTAAATGAACTGTTAATAACAATTGTACATTAGGTGAAGGAAGATCTAGCAATTGAAGGCCTCTAACTGCAAAAATAGCCTCAAACGAAATAACATTCATAACGTCGTTGGTTTCGTGAAAGACGTGAACAATCTTAACTTCCCAGGACCAAGAAAGCATATTAAGGCAGCCATGAACTAGATTTTTGAACTTCGAGGCTTGAGTACTTTTATTGCATAACGTATAAGCCACAATTTGAGAATCAACCTGCAGCTCCACCTTATGCCCTCCTCTGTCCCAAGCTACTGTTAAAGCAAAGAAAACACCCCACAACTCTACTTCAAGAGCTTCCCACATTTCTAAGGCTGACATAAAGTCAAGCAACCAAAGACCATTAGAATCTTGAAAGCATCCACCACAATTTGAAAGACCTGGATTACCTCGAGAACTACCATCGGAATTAATAGTAATCCAATCCCCATAAGCATGTTGCCAATACATCAGATGGAATTGCTTCCTCAAACTTCCTTGCCCTTGCAACTGGTAACAAGTCCAAGCCTGTTGAATTTCAACAACTTCGATTCTCAAAAATAGAAGAGAGAGCTGAGTAGGACCATTCTCAACTTCAAAAATCCTATTATTTTTAGTCCTCCATAACCACCAACTTGTGACTAAAACGAGCATATTCCACTGACGACCCTAGTCAGTAATTACACACCGAAAGAGATTAGCCCTGAGCCAACTATTAATATCCAAAATATAAAACTGAGCACCATGGAGCAAATATGGAAACCAAATTTTGCTCTAATAAAGCAACAATCAGATAGAATATGTATAGATGTCTCAACGATATTAGGGCAAGAAATTGCAGAAGATATTATCTGCAAAGCTCGACCTTTATCCGCATTGGATATATCTATCATGAACTACCTGCCACAAAAACAAATGAAACTTTTGGGGCACCTGAAGTTTCCAAATCAACTTCCATAAAGAAGACATTTGACTAGAGATATGGCCTTTAAGAAAACCATAAGTCGAAGCCACAATATATTCACCAGATTTAGAAGGACCCAAATCAAAAAAGGCAAAATTATAATCTTGTAAAAAAAAAGAATACTTTATCTTTGTCTTTTTAAAAATAGATTGTTATACTATCGTATTTTGAATTTGTTTCCACCCAATATTTGCAATTTTAGATGTTAAATATGTGTAAAATGATATGATTAGCCCCAATTCCATCTATTTAAATCTTTAATTTCTCTTCTCCTTCAAAACTTCCTCAAAACCCTAAATCTCAATTGGCTCTTCATTAAATCCACAAAATCATCAAGATCCAATTGGTGTGCTGTTGGTGATTATAATCGGTATGATCTATTATTTGTTTTGCTTTTATTTTTTAATTAGTTTCTTTTATGTATTCTCTTTTTTTCTCTCAAAATTGGATCAAGAGCATGGCTTCCTTTTAATAAATGTCTCATGCTTCAAGTTTAGGTGATAATACTTCCATTGGAACTTGCAATGTTTCTTTTCATAACTTGATTTTATACTAATTTCTTCATTAAGTTGCAGGATGTTCATCATTATGCTTCATTCGCTAAGATATTGGATGCAAAGAGCCTTGCAGAAGTCCTTCCTAGGGTAAAAATAATTGATGGAGGTAATAGTCGAGGATTGCTTTATGAAATAGATGGGTTCTTCATTTGATGTCCATGTGGCTACAAGTACAAGATTGATGTTCAAAGGATTTTTTTTAACGCAATTAGACAAAAAGAAAAAGAGAAGAAAAGGAAAAGGGTATTTTGATGAAAAATTTCATTCTCTCTCCTTAGACCGTCAAAGTTTTTTTTTTTTTTTACTTATATTCTAAAATCACAAATATTAGACGAAATGATAATATAGTATAACAGGTTTAAAATGCGAGAGTATAACAATCCATGTTTAAAAAGACAAGTATAATTTTTTTTTTTTTTTTTTATAAAATATAGGGTTACGATTATAATTTTCTATCAAAGAATCTCAATCATCCATACTTGAAGTGAGAAAGTAGGAGCCTAACATATTCAATGCTAGACGAGAAAGAACTCCTTGAAGGTGAGACTAGTCCCATCCTTGCAAAGGCATCCAATAATCCACAACAGACTTAAATAACTCGTTGTTACCCACCTGAACATGACTCCAAAGAGGTACACAAGAAAGCCAGCTTTCTAACCAGGATCTAGTAACTCTACCATTACTAACATTAAACTTGATACCCTTCTTAATTACCTCCAAACCCACAGCCAGAGCACGCCAAATATGGGAAGAGCGAGCCTTAATTGAATGTTTCCAAGTAAAATACCCAGCCATGTATTTGTTAATAAGGCATTTAGCCCAAAGAAAATCCTAATTATACATCATCCTTTAACATAACTTGCCCAATAAAGCACGATTCATCAAACGCAGATTATGGATACCAAGGCCAGTTTCCTCTTTCGAATGCTGCAAACATTCCCAATTAACAAGGTCTACATTTTGTGGCTCTCATCCTGAGATCAAATGGAGTTGCGACAAAGATTCTCCATCCCTTGATAAACAAGTTCCAAACAAGACCCTAGGCTTCAACAACGCGACATATAATGAACTCGGCATGAGTTTGAATGATTTGGACATAGAAGCTACTATCTCAAAAAAGTAACCAGATGCCGCTGCTAAATCCAAAAGCTTCAACATGAACCCAATAATCATACCCCAACGAGGACAAATCTTACTAGCTTGAGCACCATTAGTTCTAGGTTCAAGTAGACAAACAATATTCAGCGGAAATGTCCTTTTATACTCTCTAAAAGCTCTA